AAATTCTCTTTATAAAAATGTTAGCAAAATTGCTGTTGAAATATATTAGAAACAGTGGAGAAAAAGAGGTCATACAAGAAAAGAATAATGGATCCAAGAACACTTACAAGACTCATCCAGAAAGCAGTACTCACTATAAAAAATCATTAATACTCTGAGTCATAAAAATAGTCCATCAGTTTCTTATAAAAAATTGAAAGTAGGGCTAGGGATTTAGCTCAGTGGTTCTGCCACCTGCCTCGCAAGCGCAAGGTCCCGAGTTTGATCCCCGGTACAAAAAAAAAAAAAAAAAAATTGAAAGTGACTTTATCACAACAGAGCAATAAGCTCCAAGAGCAAGGAGCCTTGCACAGCCTTTTGCCTAGTTCAACAGTGGCCCAGGCTGAGGTAATCACCCCTTTGAAGTGCATCCTGTCAGTCTCTTTCAGAACATTATATTTACTCTCTTGAGTAGAAGCAATTCTTGCTTTCCTATATTTATATTAGCACTTTCCAAGATTTTTAGGTAACAATTGCATGCTGGATTATACAAGATAAAGGCAGACGTTTGCTATTAGAATTGGTTGAACAGAAATACAGAGTAGGAAGAATGGATAGAAGGAAGAGGAGGAGGAGGAGGAGGAGGAGGAGGAGGAGGAGGAGGAGGAGGAGGAGGACAACGACGATGACGACGACGACGACGAGGAGGGGAAGACCAAGACCTGTCAAGAAGAGTCAGCCCTGAGAATGACCTGGCCATGAGTTTTTCCTGAAGCCTGAGCAAACCAGATCCTCTGGTAACCTCTTCCTCACCTTTGCCATGCCCGTGTTTGTAGGTACAGAGTGATGAAGAACGCACTTATTAATGAAAAAAACAACTCCTACCAACTGAACAATTCTCCTGAGATCTTTAAGGGTGTTTCAGGAAAGAAAATGCAATTCCTTTCCTGGATTTGTCTTGAAAGGCATAACAAAAACAGGTGACTGACAATGTTTGGGAAATAAATACTCTTGTACTCTTTCTATTTACATGGCAAAGGACTTAACTTTATACCATTTCATTTGTTGTTCCAATCACACACCTGTAGCTCAGTTAACTATTGTCTATTGAGTTCCTAATAATCCATATTCATACCATTCCAAAAAGTACTCCTTTTTTTTACTGTGTTTTTCCCTATGAAACTTTCATGTGCCATATGTCTTGTAATTAATTGCCTCTTTAATGATATACTCCCACTAGTTCCTATAACCTTTTTTGATTGCAGTTTGTAAAGTATGGGACTCAACCAACAAAAATGGCCTTACAGGGCCTGGGATTTAGCTCAGTGGCACCATGCCTGCCTTGCAAGCGCAAGGTCCTGAGTTTGATCCCCAGTACCAAAAAAAAAAAAATGGCCTTATGTCTACCGAAATGCTCTAGTTTATATTTTACCCAAAATTATCTCAGTAACAAATCTCAGTCTATGCTGTACTTTTTTACTGGATATAATCTTTACTAATCAGTGAAAAATTAACTGAGATGAAAGAAGACTAGATATAGGTGCCACGTACTAATTCTTTTCAGAAAGTGGCTTTCACTATTGAACAGCTTATAGGAATGCAGCTTATGGATACTACCTCATGACATTATTCCTAAATTAGAAAATAACAAATGTAATTTGTCCAAATAGAAGCTTTTACCATTGTTCATGAGTTACAATACATAAGTTAACACATAATATTAAAGAATGAATCATTTATTTTGTTCAGAATTATATACTATATCAGCTTTATTTAAGGTTTAATTAGCCTCCAGCATCATGATTATTATTTTAATCAAATAAGTGTATTAAGCAGCTATAAGGAGATTCTTTCATAAAGTATGAAATCTTTATAATGCAAAATAACTTTGAATCAACTATGTAAAATAAAATAATTTTATGCAACTAATGCTTGAATATTGATATACCTCCACACAACTGTTTCATTGTCAGAAACCTCAAATACAACCTGGAAGTCCAACACGATAGATTCATTTTTTAAATATTAAGGATAAAATTATTAACAGTATTGTTAATTATCATGAAAACTTACTGTCTTAGGCTTTCAATCATTTTTTCCATTGCTTCCTCCCAGCAGTATGATTTAACAGACTGGATATTTTCAATCATTTCTGAGGTGATCACAAGTCTTTCATTTATCTTTCCAGCTCTCTGATCTCTGTAAATCAATCAGCCAATAGTGAGAACAAATCAAACTATCCATTAAGAATTGTTCACGTCAGGTGGGGAGGTGCCTGTCTGTAATCCCAGCTAGTCAGGAGATTGAGACAAAAGGATCACAAGTTCAAGCTAGCCTAAGGAATCCACAAGACCTTATCTCAAAATTAAATTTTAAAAAGGGCTGGGTATGTAACTCAGTAGTAAAATGCTTGGTCAAGGCCCTGGCATGCACAAGGCCCTGGGTTCAATCCCCAGTGCTTCAGAAGGAAAAAAGTGTTCAAACTTTTAAGAACAGCCACATTTATTTAATTAAACAGATGAGCATTTATTTTCTTATCAAGTAGATGGTAATAAAAATAATAGTTACCACTTAGTATATGCCTCCTATCATACAATGTATTTGGTGCATTCTATACACTATCCCTGATTTTTATGATAGTCTCTGAAAAGTTATCTCCATTTCAAAAACCATATAGAAAAAGCATGCAATTTGAGATTCAAGCAATGACCTGACTCCAAAATTTGTATAGTTTCTCTCATACGTTAGCTGACAAACTCTGAAAATCCTCTATCATAAACAATGACTGGCATCATGAATTCATTTTGTAATAAAAAGAAAATAAGACTGGTGTGATGATCTATGAACCAGAGTAGGAGAAACCAATGAAATTTAAACAAAATTTATATATTTCCTCCAATTCATATAAAGATTGTATTCACGTTTACTTAAATCTTATGAACTATGAAAATGCATTGACTCTTAGGGATGTAGCTCAGTGGCACCATGCCTGGCAAGCACAAGGTCCTGAATTTGATACCCAGTACCAGAAAAAAAAAAGAGAGAGAAGAAAATGCACCGAATTTTAACGTATTTATAAAGAAGTTCTATGGACTGACAAGCAAAAAAATGTCCCATTGGTATAGAAAATACTATTTATGCCACTAACATAATTTGTTTTCAGTGATGCCTCATAGATCACAATTCAGTGCCTAGAGAGGTCTTGGTTTTACTAGAATGAGCTTTTTGAAGCCTTGATTTAAAACCTTTTAAAACTACGACAATAGACTCCTACCTGTACTTCATCATCATTTTCCCTAACCCAGCTTGGAAAAGGGCAAGAACTATCAGGAAAGCAAGGCCACAGAAGGCAGAGGCCTGTAACAAGTCCCAGAGCAGCCCCATTAGGAGAGTCACTTGTAAAGGAGCAATCCACACGAAATGTGCCAATGCAAGTCCCTGAAAAATAAAAGCACAGCAAAAACAAGTGGCATGTTATCCACCAGCCCAAAATCAAGCAAACAAACAATCATATATGAAAGAAAATGAGCCCTGGTACTTAAGCAATCAAACACTTAGTGTTCTAAGTACACTAAAATCTAGGTATTGATTACTTGGAGCACATAGAATAAATACACATTGTACACATAGACTGGGTTTCCCAAGTCACAGCATTTTAAGTGTGTTATCATTCAGTGGAGTTGAGACAGAAGATCTTGAGTACTGTGTCCAGAATCTATTTCAAATAACATCTCTCTTTTGATAAACCAAAAGCCATCATATAGAACATGAGAGAACAAAGGACTTTCCTCAGCGGCTCAATTCACATATGGCCCCACAACTGTGTTATGTGACAGAGACATTCAGAATAAATACAGAATATATTCAATTCAGCAATAATTTATTTAAGCACCTTCTATAGGTCCAATGCTATATTAAATACCAGAAATGCAAAGATAAATAAAATACATTTTCTGTCCTCAAGGACCTTGAATTTATTTGTCACATAAGACAGCACAGAACAGGAATTGCTCAAAGTATATTCAGGCAAAGTAAATAACCAATTTAAAGTATTAAAAGGAAGCAAAGTTTGATAAGGATTAAGTTTTGAAAAATTAAGAGCAAGCTGAGGTGCCTCTGAGTTGGGCAGTGCCACCAGACCTCACAATGGCACTCTTATGCAATTTAGGTTTCTCAGTTTCCAGAAACAGCCAAGGGAAGTATGAATAAGACTTAACCACTTATTACTGCTATCAAACATAGGAAAACTTCAGCTTCGGTGTCCTATGTTTCTAACATAATTCGTAAAAGATTTAGTCAATAGGTACATACTTCATCAAACTTGTTCAGGTTGTTGGAAAGGAGATTAACAAGTTGTCCAATGCTTATTTTATCTAGAACACGGCTTGACAGCTTTAAAGTCTAAAAAAAAAGGGAGGTTAGGTGATGTCAACAAACAAAAGACAAATATATTTACAAGCAACATTATAATAAAGCTGAGGAATTAGACTATTGTGCATGCAGTTTTTAAGTAAAGGTAATAAAAATTATTTTATATTCACTTAGCTTTATATCTCACATTTACAAATATTTCTCTTAACAGAAAATATACTGACATCCCTATAGTTGTTTTATCTTCCAGCATATAGGTAGTAATAACTATTTATTGTAAACATATTTTACTTAAATATCCATTTAAATTTATTGTAATGATATTGTACTTAAATATCCATTTAAATAATGTGAGTTTCCGGGGGTGGATTTGCTTTTACTAGTAGGATGGAACCTTAGACAGTGAAACTTGAGATTGAAAACTTGGCATTAAATTTTTCACAAAGTCCTACCCTAACTCTTTTGAATAAAGGTGCTGTTAAACTCAGTAAAAGTATATTATGAATAATTGAATCATTAATAATTTTATGAAACAGTATATGAAAAATTAAAAATATTTAAATTTTACAAAAAACAGTGCTATGTGTAAAATATTTAAGTTAGTAAATTATCTACAAATTAAAGTTATTAAATTTTGATTATGAAGCATCATAACACTTCGGCAAAATATAATAAGAATTTATTTGCTGTTAAATGCTTTGACTAGAAAGCACCCATCTAATATTTGTTTCAAATCAATCAAATTAATCATATACTTATTGAGCATTTAGTAGATGCAAATCACCATATTAATGCCTTGGCAACTAAGATTTATTAAAACATAATTCCTGCCACAAGGCAGCATAGGACATAAGTATCCAAGTGTGAGAAGATAATGAGTTAAGGAAAGTAGAAAATAATAAGATGGTTAACAGAAAGTTTATACATCTGATTAGAAAAATCTGGAAAGATTTGGTAGAGATGGGTCTGGAATAATGGATAGATAAGTAGAGATAAAGGAAGAATCAAGGTAGTTAGTTCCAAAACATTATCAGAGCAATACTAGGGGGAGGAAGTGTTCCACTGAGCTAGTTTACATGTGGCTTAGTAGCAGACTCAGTCTCAGGTGAATTTGAGTTCTGCACAGAGTAAAACATGGAGCTGTGTGCACAGTAAGCATTTAGTGAAGAGTTGTTAATTTATTATTTCTGAATTCTTGAAATTCACAAAGCTCAATTTTCTTTGTATTTAAACTCATTATTTCAAGCATAATGCATTATGGTTGCAGAATTTAAAACAAAACCAAAGAGAAATCTATCACAAAATTTGAAATATTATAGGAAGGGTCCCATATGTCCCTGCTGTGAGGATGAAACAGTCAGATGTGGGGAAGAGTGAGACGTGGGAAAAGCCAAGATGAGGCTCACTTTGGGAATCAAACCAGCCACTCGGAGATGCAATTGCATTCTTTAGTGAAGGTGCTAAAATAGGACAATAAGTGTGGCTAGCACGAAAAAGCAAACTAGATAAGAAAACAGATATCCAACATTGAGAAAGAAAAATAGATAGAACAGCCTCCAACTGTTCATTAACTTGTTCTGGGTCTGAAGCACATATATTACTGTTTTTGTGTTAAATGTTACATGTGGATTTGTTTACAAACTAAGTCTACTCTATATTTGACACTGCCTTCACCTTACTACTATATCTTAGTACTTATTTCATTTTCCCTAATGGTTGGAAACTCTCTACTGCAGAGATTGTAATTTTCCCCTTTTGAAATTTTGAAGCAGTTTTTCCACAAAATTCCAGGCTTTTAGGTCATGTTTTCTCATCTATAAAACAGGGATAATAGGTCCTACCATTTGGGATTGTGGGGTCCATCAAATGAGATCATACACCTAAATCAATTAGAAGCTTGCCAAGCACACTCCTCACTGTTATCACTATAATAACAAGCACTCCTTCTAAATATTTATTGAACTAAATTCAGCTTTTTTTGATAGCAAGGTGTAGAGGTTCTACTGCTAATAATACCTCATTTATTGACTTATGTAAAATTTCTCAATAAAAATACAATTTTTATAGATTTATCATCAAATAAATCCCAAACCTACAAACTGATGAGATTGCAGCTGATATGATTCAATTAAATTATTGACTTCATGTTTTCCATTCCCTCTATAAAGGCTTTTTTGAACAATAAAAGATGGCTATTGAAGTTTTACAGCACAATTGACCTTGCATGTATATCAAGGAATTGTTATGGGTTATTCGCTAAAGGTGAATTTCATATCCATATCCCTTATAAGATAAATATATAAAGTTTTTTTATTGAAGAAGAAATCAGAAAGTAAATCAATAGCCAAGTGATTTAATCAAATCAGCTTTCTTTAATGACTTGGTAGAACCAAGCAGTCACATATAGTGTTGCATCAGATTGGTGAAAGCACTTGTTAGAGAAATGACCTTCAGCTGTGTTTGCAAGGCACCTAAATGTCAATTTGAATTCACCTAAGTCACGCCTCAGAAACTTGGGCTCTTGTCTAGATAGTACACACAGAAAAACAGAGTAAGTTCTTATGATTTAAATATATATGCTGTTTCAAAGTTTGGCAAAAATGAAGGGAACCAAGAGCTAGAGGGGGGATGGGGAAGGGGAAGGGGATAAAAAAGAATTAAGAGGTGTTACATATATGTACCAACTCCTCACAAGGAATATAATCATTATGCAGTGCAAGCATGTACCAATAAAAATAAATTATTAAACAAAAAAGACAAGTTGTAGATTCATAGGATGACAAAAATTCAACTCAAAATAAGGCACTGAATAAATGTTAATCATTTATGACAGTAAGTGTCACCACTTGTGAAAACTAGTTAAGGTGGAAATATTAATTGCTTCGGTTATCATTAACAATTATGAAACATACTCTTGTTACTGAACATAAAGCCATATGACTTTTAGTTTATATTTTGTCGATGACTTTTATACAGTCTGTGTGTTGTTTTAATGGGGAACCATGGATTTTTAAAAAATTGACAGCTGGGATGTTTCTCAGTGGTAGAGCTCTTGCCTAGCATGTGAGAGGCCCTGAGTTCAATCCCTGGTACTGTGGGGAAAAAAAAAGTTAAAAAGCAAAACAAACTCAGTAATTAATGACATGACTAAAAAGGAAACCTACAATATAAGCAGTTTAGAGAAGATGCTCAATAATTATCACTTGAAGTAAATTGAATCAAGGAAAATTAGAAACATTACTTATTTCTGCCATGTATTTCACAGGCATTTAAAATTAATTTCAGCCTTTCCTTTAGTTGTATCAGTTCACCACCTACTTCAGGGCCCTTATGACATGTGCCATGGTAAATACAAGTACCCATGTACCATGGAGAGTATATGTACCCTTATGACATGTTTCATGGTGAATACATGAATATACATGTGGACGTGTACAAGAAAGTATTACCTTCTTATAAATCAAACTAAACATAGCTATTCTCATCTGCATTCCAATGTGATGAAGGCCAAAAATGGCTGGGTGTAGGAGCAGTGTCCTCACGATAAAGAGCAGGCATAAACCTATGGCTAGGTAAATGGCTATGGAGCGTTCCTCCTTGTTATCTGGGTCATAGGAAGCTATGATTCTTCCCAGTAAGAGAGGCTGTACTGCTTTGGTGACTTCCTGCAGAAGGGGAAAAAACAGAGAAATTATATTTCATTCTGTCTTATAAAATACCCTTACAATTTCAACACAAGAAGTCTCATTTAAACTGGGTATAGTGGTGCATGTGTGTAGGAAGGCAACTTAGCAACTAAGTGAGCCCATATCTTAAGACAAAAAATAAAAAGAGACTGGAGGTGTAACTCAGTGCAAAGGCCCCGAGTTCAATCCTCAGTAATACACACACACATACACACACACACATACACACACACACACACACACACATGCACACGGTCTCATCTTTAGAAGACTTCAAATGAACTTACAGAGAGGGTTAATGATTTATGAAACTCCTGACACTATCTTCAATATCTGGATATTTTGAAATAAGATTTGATTTTTGGTTTCTAGCCCAAGTCATTGAGAGGCAAGTTTATGTATCAGGTATTTTTAATTAAAAAGTAACTAGTAGCCATAAAGTAAAGGGGTGTTTTATGAAATGGTTTGTTAATTACCTACATGGCACAGAGCAGTTCCTAAAATTATTCCCACTTGACTTCATAGTATCTTTACAATAGTTATAGTGGGCATTATGGTTTTCATCTACAGATGAAGAAACAGGCCAAAGAGACCAAGTGACTTGAAGTAATCTCAAAACAGAACTTTCAACAGCATTTTGAGGAATGGCATTATTTTCAGAGTGAACATAGCTCCTCAAGGTAACTGCCACAAAGCAGAGCTGGTAATAGAAAGGAGGAGCATGCCAGCCCTCGTGGTATTAAAAAGCTAGCCACTTGCGGTGCCATTCCCTTCCCAGTCCGGAAGGGGTACGGATTTTAGTGAAGGAATCTGCCAGTGAAATCTACCTCAGACCAGTTTCCAACAACTGAACTCCTGAGAGATCCTCAACTGATTGCTAAACCAAACTGTCCATCAAATTCATTACCATTTCTCCCGAACGTATGTATGAGAACACATTTGAACACAAGGGTTCTAATTCTTACTCATCTTGCTAAATTGTCTTCAAAAGGGGAAGATACATAATCCCTCATTTTGTCTCAGAATGATCTAGTGAAAGGGGAGTATGGAAAGAAACCCTCTAAGAAGATGAGGTTATGCTAATTAGTTTCATTTCAAATGCATATTTCCAAGCCAGACTGTCCCCCATTGTATTGCTGTCTCTCTCTTTCATTTGCTTATTTCTTCATTCTTCTACAATGTCTTTTCTAAATTCCAAATGCTCAATACCACTAGCCCTTCATTCTCAATAGATGATCATATATTCTACATCAACTTCATCCCCCCAGGGAATTACAACCTACATATAGCTATAATTGATGGTTGACCACTGGTTTCATGTAGTTGCTCATTCTGTAGTTTATGTGAAGTGTTGACACTTCATTTCATAACTGTATAAACCAAGATCTAAAGGTATGAAAATATTCAAAACTTTAAAAGTTTCCAAAGTAATCACAAACATGAACTATTATAATTCTTTTCTCTCACATAACTAAATATTAAGTGAGTTTGAATTACAGCAAACAGACAGGCAGGTGCTGAAAAGAAAATTGCCTCCTACCCAGATATAACACATTCATAGTTTTCCAAATCCACTGAAGAAAACTTGCTTTTTAAAAAGTGCATAATTACTACTTAGGGCACATCATTTTATGCATGCGTTGTACTTATATTACATAGGTACACATCTTTAGAACATATATGTAGAATTTTTTTGAGGTTGAAATTTTGTATGTGCTTTTGCAATTTTTTAATTAACACTGTTTTGTCACTTATTGATGTTTGCATAGCTACCTTATTTAATTTCAGTGCTATTAAACACACTATCCCATGGGGGGAAAAATCAGTCTATTTGCCCATTTCCTACTCTGGGGCAAGTTGCACTGTGTCTACTTTTAAGCTATTACAATCAGTGCAAATACTGGCCTAGTTGCTTTTATAGGGTTCCTTACTACATGCCGAACTTTCTCTAGATCAGATGACTTTATTTCAAAATAATCCTTAAATTAGGAAATTTATTAAATTTAAAATTGTATATAAATTATATCTGCTCTACAAGTACAGTTTTTCATAGTGCATTTCTCATGACAATATTTCTTCCTGAAAATTATTTTCACATCAATATTTTGCCCCAGAATTTTTAATAATGAGTCATTTTTCATAGACAAACATCAATACTATATTTCTTTGATTTTTTTTTTATTATTAGTGGGTCTGCACTTGAGAAAAATAGTCTTTTGAACTGTACATGTTACCCATGTTGGAGGTATCACGTGCGGCCATGAAGCAGAGAGCAGCAAGCATTGATGTTTCCCACACATACAAGATAAAGCACTATTTCTTGTTTATCGTAAGACAATAATTACAAGCGTATGAAGTGTACTTGTTGCCTAAGAATTCAACTGCTAATATTACACTTATCATAAATACCTTTCTCCTTTTTTTAGAACTCATTTCAGAGAAAGGTATTTGTTAGAGAGACTATATTAACAATTATAGAACCACTGGTAAATACCATATTGCAGAAAAAGTATTTAAATATTTCAAAGGAGTAGCTTCTGTCTCTAGAATGTTAAGAATAGTCTGAGAAAAAAGAGAAATATTTTAGTAACTGAGCTGTAGCCCAGGATTTTGGGGGTTAGAAATGGACAGGCTTGCCTAAGGATTTTTTGTGTTAAGTAATTTGAACTAAACTCCCTGTCATTTAATCTCCATTATATGTTTCCATAACCTGTCATCTCCATTACAATAGATTCATTTCCTGAATTGTTATTTAGTTGCAATTTACAAAAAAACAATCAAAATTGGTATTAACCCGAATGGAATAGCTATTTCGTATTAGTTGTCATCATTCCTCACCCACAGAGAACTTACTCATCCTTTGAGTAACAGTGGCTATTTAAAAAGATACTGGTAGTATTACTTTGAGAGAGCATATGTTCATAGAATAAAATGTAGTTTATTTTTTGCTAGAAAAATTCCAATAACAGGGCCATCTGCTTAGAGCAAACCAACACAAACTTCACTACCACACAGAAATGTTAATATTCAAGGACAAAATCAGCACTTCATACCTCCCTCCCCTTCTATAGTTTGCCCTAATCTGTTTAATGCAGCATGTTCTCTAATGTTTACAATGGAATCATTTACAGATATCACCTGATTTTTGGGGGGGGGTGAAAGAAAACAATGGTATCTGATACCTAGCTTAATCTATGAAGTGCAGTCCTTTACAATATTCACAACTGAAGAAATATTCCTGTATTCTTGGTACATGAAAGCTACATGTAGTCTATTGCTCAGACTATTTTCAGAAACACAAGAAATTTGTCACTACATGAAATAGTACAAGCAAGCTGAGGATTACATGCAAGGCGAAGGAGTATAAAATTATTTAAATTATTTAATAAAATATTTTATTACACTTTATCAGGCACAAGTTAAGATGAATTCACTTAGATAATAGAAGCCTAATACAAACATTTAAGCCAGTGTTATGGCGAAATAAATGCTGAATTCAAGGTTATGAAACTCAAGTTCTTATCTGACCACATGAACTACATATACTCTCTGTGTCACCTTAGTTACTTCCATTCTCTAGATAGTTTTCCTTGAGAGGTGGATCAAGCCTATCTTGAAAGTTCCCTCTAGTAATAACATCTCATTATATGATCTGCATCTGTGGAGTGCCATAGCAGAAGCCAAAGATTCTTTGGGTAATTGTCCTAGCCCGCATTCTGTCATGGCAATGGATGTGTTCTCAGAGGGGTACAGATCTGAACAGTGTGAATTCAAAATACCATCTTTGGAGGGAGAGATGTCAGGTTAGAAAATAACTCAAATGACTGCATTCCTGGTGGGAATAACCTTGGGTCTCATCTCAGATCAGTCTCCCAGGGAACATTTACAAGCTTGAAAATACCTCTGAGGAGACAGAACTGCATCTCACAGATACATTTTCCACATCAGAGTTCAAAGTCACTGTGGGAGAATATAAATCCTCTAGCCATTTCTGATATACCTGCATGCTTAAGTAGAGGCTGAGTTCTGGAGATGGAAAGTGCTTTTGCTGAATATTCAGACCATAAAGGAAAGTATAGTGGAAAACAGGAAGTTGGTCTCAGGCTTGCAGTTACATCAGATAAATTAATTGTAAAAAACCTTTATATTAAAAGTTACCATTTCAAGCCCAAAGCATAATTGTTTCAAAAACAAGTAGAATGATTATTTGAAGAACTTTTAAATTTATCTCATTTTTTCTTCCATGTGGTCTCTTACTAATATTACCTTCGTCATTTCCACTTGTTTTAAATATACCTTATATGTCTTTATCCCAAGAATATAGAATAATTTAATATTGAAAAATTAATTAATTAATTTAAAATGGACTATAAAAGAACCTATAATTACCTCAATAACAACAGAAAAGAAATCCAATAAAGCTTTAACATCTGTGTCTGATCCATGTTCTTAATAAACATCAATATAAGATACTTTATGAAACTGAGGAAGAATTTTTCCATCAAAACAGCAATCAGGACCATAGTTAATAAAACTCTAGAAGTATTACTTTTAAAATCAGAAAAACAAAAAGAGTACTGGAACAATAACATTTTTCTGGAACTTATAGCTAATGCAACTCAATAAGAAAAATGATGGAAATATGAAACTGGAAAGGAGAAGCAAAAACATCACTGTCAGCATAGAATATGATTATCTATATAACAATTTAAGTAAATCAAGAGTTTAATAGTAGAGGTTTAAAAATAATTACTAAGAAAACAGATTGCTAGGTACCAAACATAATAATTATTTAAATAAGTATTCTTATATTTTGCATAAAATATTCCTGAATGTATTTTTAAAGTCTTAAATAAACAGAAAGATTTAAAATTTTCTAAAAAAGAAAAACCTAACAGTGCAAAGATTATATTCACCTCTAACTTATTCTGTAAAATTAGTGTAGACTTCATCAAAATCCCATTGTCAATTTTGAGACA